AGGGCCCTGCGGTGACAGGCACCGCAGGCGGCGACAGAAGCGACATGGGGCCTGGGCGGTGCCCGGCCCGAGACCTGATGAGGTGGAGCTCAGTCGATGCTCTTTTGGTGGGAAGACGTTTGGTGGGAGAACGGCGAGTGCACTGCCTGCCGTTATCACGGGGAGGGAGGGGAACGGACAGGAAAGCGGCTGCCTCCTGATGGGATGTTACCAGTGTGTAGCCCCTGTGGCGTGCTGCTTTAGAACGTACTTTTTAGGAGAAAACAATGAAGATAAGTGAAACTAAAAGGCAATACATATTTTTGCCAGAAGAGCTTTTTTTAACCTGTCCTCAAAACTGTCTTTGATAAAGTAATTACTGTTTTTAAGGGAAATGGAGTAGTTCTCTTTTTTCCTAGACAACACTAAAGTTTTTGATCAGCTGCTGCAATGGAAATTGTTATTGTGCTGAAAAGATGGGAATAACACCAGAATTGTAAAGAGGATGGGGAAGTAACTAGAGACAAACTATGGTGAGTAATATTGAAAAGAAAATCCATCAAATCTGAATATAAAAGATTATAAAATTAGTTCTTTGAAGATCCATCTTGAGTCCAATCTTATTAAATATTTAGTGAAGATCTTGATGTAACAATTAAAACTTTACTGTTTTAATTTGGTAGTGATGAAGAGTTGTGAGGCATCGGCACTGTAGAAGGCGGTTACAGTACTACACAGAAAGAATTGGGTGATCCTGAGAACTAGAGAATGAAATAAGTACAATAACAATTTAAAGAACAAGGGTTTGCAGTTGCAAACTTGTAAGCACACAATTTACAGAAGAAATTCTTCCAGTTGAAAGCAACACAAAACCAAAATACGTGTTAGGTAGTTAGAAGATAGGCAATGGTGGAAAAAGTGAATGCCAACCTATGATGATCCAGAAGAAGTTGTTACTGTTACCGATGAACAAAACTCTAAAATACTTTGTATAATGTTAATTGTTCTCAGGTAAAAAGGTGAAGTGGAACAGATGCAGGAAGATGTGCCTAGGACAGGTAGGGAAATTAAGAGTCTGTTGAAAGAAGCATTTGGCTTCTTTGGTTTTGCAGAATAAAGGCCTTTTTTGCTTTCTGTTGAATCATCAAGGTAAACACTGTGAAGGGAATAAACTGCGCTAAAGAATGATGTTGATACATGAATAATTTAACATAGATTTTAAGTGTAATAATATATGAAAATTTCTAACCGTCAGATGTTCAGGAGCAGCCTTCCCAAAGGTCAAGGAGGAGCAAAAGCCCAATACTGTTTAGATGGAATGTGACTGGTTTGTAAAAGTAATGCTTTTGCTTGCTGCAGCAGCGGACTAAGCTTAGTGGTATCTGTAGACTTTAGATCTGTTTTTCTTTTTTGTTTGTTTGTAAAATAGATTATTAACAAGAGCTTGTTAAATGTGTTTTTTAGAAGAAAAATATTTATAGTAATGTTTGTAGACTGAATAGTAGGATTGGTGACAATCAGAAAATGACACTGGCTAATTGCTCTCTTTGAGTTGAAGAGAAGGTATTGGAGAGTAAGCTGAGATGAGTCGAAGGCTGAAGTGTAATATGTGCATCTGCTGTTTTCTTACCAGAGGAATCTTAGTTTGCCTCTGCAAGAGGGGACTATAAAAATCAGTTCTGATCTGCACTCAGTGATAGGTTTCCTCTCCGCAGGTTTTGGTATCCTTCATTTGGAGTTGCCTCATCAGCAAGAGTGAGTGATTCCAAGTGGTGCCTTAAGTTGACTCTGTTATCCCAGCTCATATTCTTGTGCAGTTAATTTCTGAATACATGTGGCCTTGAAGTCCTCATCTGCAGCCCAGGACCTGAGATACTTGGTCATCCAAGGAGTGAACTACTAGTGGCTCTTCTAGGGATTTGGGTATGCTGGAATTTTGAGGGCTGTTTTCTTTTGATCAGTCTGTCAGTTGGTTGCTTCCCACATGATCTCAGTTGTGGATGCTTCACTTCCAGATGGGTCAGTTAACAAGCACATAAAATATTTCAGAGGACATTGGTTTATACACATTATGTGAAATACACGATCCCTGATGCATTCAGCTTTCTGTAGAGACCATTCACAGTATGCTGTTAGTGTAGAGGACAGGCTGACAGGCCTGTCTTGAGCGCATGGGCCTGTTCCACCAAATTTCAGTTGTTGGTGTTTACTGAGATTCTGCCATCACCTAAGTCAAGAGCACAAATACTGAAATGTTCAGATTTGTTGTGGTTTGTTTTACTACTTAAAGATGATACTAAATATGTGGAAAAAAGTTTTATCTCATGCAGTACCTCACTGAAACCATATCTATACTTATAAAACTTACATGAACTAAAGCCCAGAATCTATCAACACCACTTTTCCAAGTGGCATTTCTTTCTTTTACTCTGTGGATAAAATTTCAATTGACTAAGTGGAACAGAGCTGCTTAAATACCAGTTTTGTCACTCAGCAATTTTCTCACATCCAAGTAATACAGCTACATCAGCTGAATTTTACAACATAAAGGAATAAATCTTTTAATGTTCATTAATGGGGTTATATTCTCCAGCATGCTCAAGACCTCTTACACTGTCAGATCAGCATAATGGATGGTGACAGAGAAAGGGCAGCAGCCCGTTTCAGGGAAGGCTTCTGGTGTATGGGTTTCCCATGAATGGTGTAGAATGCTTGTCTGTCTTCTTCACCTTGATGTTTTTTTGTGCAGAGAAGCGTATGCCTGTCCTTGCTGTGTGTTAGTATGTTAAGGACTGGTTCTGCCTGAGTTTGGATACATTTTTAGAGGTTTGCTACATCTAAGGCTCCTCAGCTTTTACTAAAGTTTACCGAGTAGGATTGTAGATGCAGGTGATGTGATTTATACAGTCTACTTGGATTTTCAGGAAGCATTAAAAAAAAAAGTATCCTTCCAGAGGCTTTTGAGGAGACTGGGTGCTTATAGCATAAAACAGATTTCTTACATGCAGAAATAGTTGAGTTGAAAAATTAAAAAGAGGGCAGAAATAAATTGCCAAAA